AGCCAAACTTGAGAAGACGAACATGCATTCAAGTAATATCTATTTCATTTAGTTATTGACATAACTTTAGGGTTGATCTGCTCACTTAAATTATGTTTCATTACTTTTAAAGGTAGTCCAACACCTATGCTTATTTGGATTCCTTAATTAATCCAAGACATTTACTTAGTCTAGGCCATAAGGTTATTTTGGTAATTTTGGAGTTCAATTTTATTCCATTCATTTCAAAGCTCGAGGATATCCAATCATTCCTGAGCTTGGTGATATTCTTGGGTTATTTCCATTATAGGGGTATTCTGGTCATTCTACAGATCCGATGTATTTCAATCATTTACTTCCATCATGTCTTATTATTTAATTCCAATTTATCATCTATTTCAGTCCCTTCGAATAATTCTGATAAAAGAGAACCCCGATAAATTGTTCTTCAGGTATTTACTCGTAACTCGGATATTTTCGGGTCAAGTGCCTTCTCAGATTTTTACCAACGGAATTTCAAGAGTTTTTTTGTACTAAGTCAGTATCTTAACAATCAAATTCGTACTTAATCGAGTTAAGTACAAATTCTCAAAGTACTTTCTCATTCAGGGTCAACTCGGGCTATTTTACCTCTCAAGGGCATTTTCATAATTTTTAACCAGATAATTTCGATATTAGCTCTTAACAAAAATAATTATAATTTAAAGATCATATGGCCAATTGCTTTCCCGAACATTCTCTGATCTTGAAATTATTCCTTAACAAATTTCTAGCATATTGCGCAAACCCTTGTTGGCGTTAAATACCAGTTATCCAAATTTTTTAAACAAAACTATTATTTCTTATGCACATCTGTAATTATATCGGATCAATATGTCTTTTCAGAGTTACTAACCAACTTCCAAGGACAATTCTTGTCATCCTACAACATAAGAGTATTTTCGAAATTTTACCCTACCGGAGTATTCTAATAATTTCTCATCCAAGTACTTTTAACATTTAACCTTTGATGATATAAAATATAAGTTACAAATCCATGACTGATTTCTTTATCACTAATCACAAACTTGTAATTTAATTCTAACAATCCCTCAATCTCTTATAATAGTCACTCGATCGTATTCAGTTACCGAATTTCTACCACATTTATATCGAGTGTATATATTAATCAACTCCACAAAAGTGACCAACATTATCTTATTCATACATTTACCAATATCAACATGTTCCATAAAGCATAAAGAGGTAGTAAAGTATTACCTCTATTTATGTGCAATACTGATCGACCATATAAATTCCATTCGAACGCCCTCGATCTTGAAATAATCTTCCAATAATTCCTCAGATACATATCAATATAAATTATATAAAAAACGGAGCTTAATTGCGATAAACGAATCGAATCGGGTTATAAATCAGTCAAAAATAACTTACCGGGTTCGAGTTTGGTGAAACAGACCCCAAAAACAGATTCAGAACATCGAAAACATAAAATATGACTTTTTGAAAATTTGGAATTTGCGGTCAAAGTCAACAGGTTTGACTGGCAATTTTGAGACTTTCGGGTTCGAATTTTGAAAAACGGACTGTGGAATCGGATTTGGAACGTCGAAAAACGTCAGGATAGGTATACTTGGTCAAAGTCAAAGGTTGTTTAATGTCCGGTCAACGCTGGTCAACGGTCAACGCATGTCAACAGCCAACATTCGACCATTTTACACAAATATCACCCTAACAGAAATTAATTACAAAATTAGCTATATTCTACAAATATTTACGAAACTAACACCCGAATTTTACACAAATAGCACCCAAATAGAAATTAATTACAAAATTAACACCCAGATGATGCCCACTCTCGGGGTGGCGGGTGTGGAGCACGAACAGTGCTACGGTGTCGGGAAATTTCTGGAAAATTTCCTAAAAATTATTTTAAGCGATTTTGAGGCACTTACAAAGCTCGGTTCATAATTTTGAATAGTGGAGAGCTCGATTCCAAAATGTCGGAAACTTTGACGGTCTCAACCCTCCACGCGCCAACGACGATGGAGAAATGGAGAACACTGCTGGACTCGGAACGATGCAAGGAACACGATGGTACGGGAGGAGTCGAAAATGGATTATCAGATCGTCGTGAATCGACGAAAAACCAACTAAAATCGAGTTATTACCGACGATATTTCCGGCGAACGACGACGATTCACAACGAAAGGTTTGAGGGGTTTTGTTTCTCGGTCGATAACGAACACGATGGTGGTTTCAGTTTGTCGATCGGAGGTTGGAAGGCGAGTAGATCGGAGTTGAAAGGAAGGTTGTTAGAGAAGGGAAAACTGGAAAATATGAGAACCTGCGCACGAGGGGAAAGTTATATTTCATCATATATAAAAAATGGTTAAATCATGGGTTTAGTTACTGAACTTCCTGCACTTCTTAAAATGGTTTGTCAACTTTACGATTTTACAATTTAATCCCCAATTTCTTCCAAAAATACCTATTAAATTCACCACTTTATAATTTCTTAAATTTAGCCCCTAAATTAGGGTATTACAGGTGAAGCGGTCAAAGTTTCGGCCGAGTTGAAATCGAGCTCTCCACCGTTCAAAAATTTGAACCGAACTTGGTAAGTGTATAGAAATTGCTTAAAAGAATTTTAGGAATTTTTTCAGGAATTTTTGGAGATCGGATGAGGCCTCACGCGCCCCCACGAGTCGCCCCTGCGCGTGGGGGAGTTGCGAAATGAAGGTGGACATTGTTTGACTGGCTTGACCGGTCTAAACTAGTCTGACCGATCTGAACCAGTCTGACCCGACCCCCCAACCCGACAGTTGACCTGACCCGACCCGACCGTTAACTCGACCCGACCGTTTACCGTTGACTCGACCCGACCGTTTACCATTGACTCGGGTGTTATTTTCGTAAATATTGTTAAAAGGATGTTAGTTTCGTAAATATTTTTAAAAAAGGTGTTAGTTTCGTAAATATTTTTAAAAAAGGTGTTAGTTTTGTAATTAATTTATATTAGGGTGATAATTGTGTAAAACAGTTGACTGTTTATCGTCGTTGATCTCCTTTGACCAGAACTTTGTCCGGAGTTGACCGGCCATTAAACGACCTTTGATTTTTTTCGAGTATACTTATCTTGACATTTTTCAATGTCCCGAATCCGTTTCTGAAGTCCGTTTCTCCAAATTCAAACCCGAAGGCCTCCAAATCGTCTGTCAAAGCAGTTGACTTTGACAAAAAATTTGAATTTTCGAAAGTCATATTTTATGTTTTTCGACGTCCTAATTCCGATTCCGCAATCCGTTTGATCAAATTTATACTCGAAAGCCTCCAAATTGATAGTCAAATCCGAAAAATGCATATGTACATGAGAGTTTTAGCTTTGAATGATTAAGTAAGGCTTGAGACTGATAAATTATTATTGTTTGAAGGTACAAAAGACTCTCGTGATCACTCGACAGCTCGACCCAGCTCCTCTAGATCAGTTAAACCGCGTGTGCCAGTATTCACTCGTATTACCTATAAATCTTATGATTTCATAGATTAATTATGTTACCCACTAGTAATATAGTGTTATTATGAATTACTTTCGAAAAATATAGCAGAGCGTGGCGAGGTCAGTACTCACTAGATCTACTGTTTGAACCTATTATCGAGGTGTGTTCTCTATTTATTATTGAACTGTTTTATTTGTTTTAACATGTGGTACACTGAATTCTATGGCTACTATTTTATTGATGCACCGATTTATTGTGATGGTTTATGGATTATGACTGCTATCAGATTTTTGGTTTGAACTGGTATTTGATTACCATGTTTTTGGATTTATAGAATTTATGTCACGGTGGAATTGTATTTTTGAGATACAAATTTATAAAGTACAACTCTGATCAAGCTGGAAAATTTTACGGACCTAATGTGACTCTTAGGTAGGCTCTGCGGCCCTGAGATCATTCTCGGGTAGGCCATGTAGCCTTAAGATGTGTTCTTAGGTAGGCCCCTTGGCCCCGAAATCTATCTTGGGTAGGCTCTCATACCCTAAGATGTTCCCTTAGGGTAACTCTTTTATAAGATTTACTGCAGTATGATTTTATGAGATTTACTGGACTATGATATGTTTAGTGTACCTATCATGATTTTATGGTAATGTTGGGACACACTGAGCCTACCTCACTTTTCGAAAATGTTTTCCCTTTTAGATACTGTTGGTTAGATACCCTGATCGAGCACTTGGAGGATCAACATATCTCTTGAAGTATATCGGATTGTAATGTTTTTATCTTTCAAGTTGACTCTATTTTGGTAACATGGGCCTTATTTTAAAGTATTGGATTTTATAATGACTACTCTTTTGCTATTTATATTCGGTTTATCGTAATTGGATTTTTAAGACATGTTTAAAATTAATTTGTTACTTTTTAATTTTATATTTATGAATTGGGTTCTTATAGTATAATTTATTATAATTCATAAATGTCATTTATAATGTGATTTTACATTGATTGAATAACGGTTTCGGAAAATGTCTTTAAGAATCATGAATGTGATCAACTAGATTTAGTCGAAACGCATAGGCCGAGTCTAGAGGGTTACCGTACAAGCAATAAAGGCCAACATGTGGAAGGCTTGGTCCCTCAAGTTCATCTTTTGAGTGAAAATAAAAGTTGGGAGAATTGGGTTCCCAACTCCCCCATTGTATTTTTCATTAGATTCTTCTCCAATATTTACTTTTGATGTCTGGGGGAATCCATTGGCCTTGAAAGTTGTAATCTTCAAAGTTGAATTGATTTTTAATGTTTCAATGATGGATATATCTTAAATTTACACAATATATGGAGTAATTGTAAGGGTCGCAATAAGGAAGAAAGCAAAAGCAGAGTATTGCCATTTCCACAAAACTACATATGTATGCACATTGTGGCATATTACCAATTGATGCTTGCCATGATCAAACTATAACCATCGTTTTTCAACAAAATCCGGAAACAACACAGCTAAGAGAGGACGATCATCATCATGATTCTTCTATGTTAGAAAAGGCTCGCAGCGCAAGAAGTGTTGCCATATCAAACTTAAGTTGTCTTCAAGCAAGTCCAAGATCCCTTTTGTTTCAACATCCTGCTCCCGGAAAAAAAAATCGAATGTGATTTTACATAATCATATCTGTTTTCGCGCAATATGTGTACAAGTTCCATGAGAAAATTACTGGTCGTTTAACAAAATTGGGAAAATGGAAAGTGCTGCTTACCATCAGTCCTGAAACAATTCCTTTCAACTTCAAGAAAACCTCCTTTGAAGCTTCACCGTATGTAGTTCTGAAATCAATTCGGTCAGCATGACGTACCTTGAGTCTTATGGACGAGTTTTCATAAGCACTAGACATTGTGTGCCAAACACCAACAACATTGTATCTATTCCCACTTGATGCTTTTCCGAATGGCCATCTCAACCCACCTTTCTCATCTGGGTCTAGGACTGCTGAATCAATCAGATTTTGAATGCTTTGCATCTCATCTTCCTAAGAGTAAACGAAATAAGTCAGACGATTAAACTAACTAACGTCACTGGAGACCAATAGGATCCAAACTTACAGTCATAGAAGATAAGATTCTCTTGTGGGTCAGCATCAACCTCAAATCGAGATTCATATCCAACATGATATCTATACCATGTCACGCACTGACTTAGTTCTATCTACACACAAAAACAAGATTCTGTTTCATGGTAAAAGGAGAGAAAAGTGGGGAGATTCAAATTAGCAATATGTTGATCCATTCCATAATTACAGATAAATTCGAGACAGAATAAGGAAAGTCAACATATTGGGTGCATATCTTGTCCTATGGTAATAGAAGACTTGCCTTGTGTAGTTGGAGTTTTTTATCATCTTTTACTCTACATTTGCACGAAAGGGTTGAAGCTGGTTGTGTGCTATCAGACAACTACACATAAACAGATTGAAATCATTCAATTGCTAAAATAATCAATCATATCACAATAGAAAGTAGAGTTAAGTGGGAAAGATACCTTCACGTGATATACATCTTTCATATCTGCAAATCAACTTTAATCTTCGAGGAAACTTCAGCTATAATGTTTTCCAAGTATGAAGAAGGAACACTTGTGTAAACGATTTTTCAATTCCCTCAACGTCGTCTCACTAACACAATCTTTACTGACACTTTCAAGGCTCAAGAAGGACTCCTGCACCAATATTGTAAAGCAGGGTTACTTTGATCTCCTTCAAGCAAAATAGCCCTAAAAACCCAACCATAAAACTAAAGGTAAGAGTCAAGGTAAGATAATGAACCTTATCTTTCCTTGAGTTTTATGGATGGGCTTTCATAAGCAGTAGCCATTGCTAATATATGGATCGTCTACTTTCAATGAAGCAATAGCAAAGTAATCAATGCTTACCCCTGAAAAAGTATTTTGCCAAACCTAGCAACCATTTCCAGCTTTAGATCTTTCGAAACTCCACACTCTATTTCAGCCCTCGCCTTTTCAAAGGAAGATAGCAGGTCTGGCAGAACATTTTCTGCGATAGATGTCCACGGGCTCCCTTTTGCTTCATCTACGATAATTGGGGACACCTTTCACATTATTTTAGGAATGATGTACCACCAACCTTTATCTAAATTATTTTTCACCAAGATTAGAGGTTTCTCGCATGTTTTCTCTCGATAGATTCAACTGAAACTGGCTTCAGATGAGCAGCAAAAGTGTCAATGTTTCCATCATCCAAACCAACAACAAACCATCTGGATTGCATAGTTCGAGTATATGATCTTTCCTCCCCTATCAGCGTAGGCTTTGAAGCTCTTAACTGTACATTCCTATTAAATTTGGGAGCAAGGGACTCTGGAGTCGGTGTCCACCTATTCGAATCCTTCAAATGCCGCTTGAATCGAGGGATGTAAGCCATGTGTGATGCTCAATTCCAACACCTACAGGAAACAAATTGTTAAAGGAGTTTCATGGCAATAGTAATATACTTACAAAAACCTTAAACAACATGGAAAACAAAGCCCAGTTTTCAACAAAACATAAATAATGCAACAAAATCTAATAACAGAAATCTTAACTAAGATACATAGATTATGTTAAGATAATAACATTAAACATGATAGATACATTAGTGAGACACAAAACTCATCTTTTTAGCAGCAAAATATGAAATGCTCGAAAAACAAAAACAAAGTAAAGCCTTTAGTACCCATAAAATAATTCAAAGAAAACAATCTTCAATCTTTTTTCAAGTACCCTTCAAAGAAGCATAATCTTAGAATTCAGAAAACTAACAAATAGGTTTTGCAAGGAATTTACCAGAGAAATTACAAGAATTCATGGCTTTGGATTCTTGGGTTAACGCCAAATTAGGGAAAGAAAAAGAAAGGATTTTGATTCTTGAAGATCAAAGAGAGATGGTTTGCAGTTTGAAACAGAACAGACTATTGGTGTTTTTATAGTTGGAAAGTACTTTCAACTACTTAAATTGCAAGAAGTTCCTCTGACATAGGCAAAAAAGGAAAAGTAAAATACAAATTCTTCCCTTAGAAGTTGTTTCTTTATTTTTCTTTTTGGAGAAAGTACAGCATTAGTTCTTAAATTATTCCCTGCATATGAAATTGATCACAATTTTTTATATATTTATTAACAATAATTCTAAAAAAATATTTTTTTGAAAAATATATAAAAATTTATAATGTTTTTTTAAAAAAAAAAAGATTAATGCATTGTAATTATTTTGAACAATTATTTCGAGCAGAAAGAAAAGACATGCAAAAGAGAAAGATTAAGGTGGTGTTTGTTTACACTATTAAAGGTCTTCAAAGCTTTTATGTCTGCGCCGCGTAGACCACGCGCAGACATTAGGCTTCGCAAAACGTTTATTTTTTAGAAGACAAAAGCTCTTTTAACGTCTGCGCTTCCTCTTCTTGGCTCAGACGTGACCTTATGTCTTCAAATATCTTCTATCATCTTCAAAGAACATTAAAAAATATGGATTGATTTATTTTAAAAAAATTATTATTGTAGTTGTATGGATTATTTAAATTTCAGTATTGTAAAACTAAAATTATTTAAATTTCAGTATTGCAAAATTCTTTTAAGTTTAAAAAATCAGTTTATTTATATTTCAGTTTATTTTAGCCGTCTGCAGACGTTAATTTAATAAGGTTATTTATTAAATAATTTATTAGTATGAATTGATTTATTTCAAAATATGAATTGATTTATTTTAAAAAAATTATTATTGTAGTTGTATGGATTATTTAAATTTCAGTATTGTAAAACTAAAATTATTTAAATCTCAGTATTGCAAAACTCTTTTAAGTTTAAAAAATCAGTTTATTTATATTTTAGTTTATTTTAGTAGTTTGCAGACGTTAATTTAATAAGGTTATTTATTAAATAATTTATTAGTATGGATTGATTTATTTTAAAATATGGATTGATTTATTTAAAAAAAATTATTATTGTAGTTGTATGGATTATTTAATTTCAGTTTTATAAAACTAAAATTATTAAATTTCAGTATTGCAAAACTCTTTTAAGTTTAAAAAATCAGTTTATTTATATTTCAGTTTTTTTTAGCAGTCTGCAGACGTTAAAAAACAAACAGTCTTCTTTTTGCAGACTGTAGACTTTTGGTCCACCTCTTCTGCTACAGATGTGGTCCGCAGACTGCAGACCTTTTACCTCTGCAAAAATAAACACCACCTAAATTACATGTTTGAGTGAAGAAGGTGCTCTCAAGACTCGGAGAGAGGGGAAAATTAAATAAATTTACTTAAATTATTTTGAGAAAATTACACCATTAATTCTTAAATTATTCCTTGCAAATCATCTTGATCATCAAATTTACTTAACTTATAAAATTTTATCTTAATATTTATTAACAATAATTTCAAAAGAAGATATTTTTTTTGAAAATATAATATTTTTAAAAGAAAAAAAGAGCAAAAGGTTTTCCTTTGCAAATTTCTTAGATAATGTGGTGGAAGAAAAAGGTTGGCTCATTTAGGGTGTTTGCTGTTAGATAGAGGTGTTCACTTTTGATTTTAACCAAATTAATCATCAAACTGAATTAGTTTGATTAAACGGTTTGCTACCAAAATTAGATCAGTCGGAGAAAGATTTTTTTTTTCAATATCATTTAATGAATAACTCGGTTCAAAATTAGTTAGTTAACTGAAAATATTAAATATTATATATATCAAATACATATTTTAAGCTAAAAAATTGACTCGATTAACAATTAAAGAAAAAAAATTCAGTTATTTCATTTTTGGGGAATTGGTTATATTGGTGACCGATTCACTATTTAAACATCTTTATGTTGGAGAAAATATTTTCTCAATTAGTGAAGTGAAAAGTGTAAAGGGGGAAGTTGTTCAGACCACTAAGCAACTTCATGAAGTCGACGGGACTGTATGATGTCTTTTATATAACGCTTAAACTGAACTATGCAAAACAGTATCGAGTTTAGAGAAGATGTTGTATCTTCCGGTTAAAAATCTGATCAACTCACCTTACATTGTTCATTCCATCCAAAAATTTTGTTTCAATACCCCATGTAAATCAATTTTTCCAGACTATTATCCTATATTTTTGTCGGTTTCCTGTTTTGTAGTAATTGTTTTGCGCAGCCATTTTGAAGAGAAAGAAAGACATGCAAAGGAGGGATAAGGGATGCATGCTTAAGTGAAGGGGTGCTCCCGGGACTCGGGAGAGAGGGGATGAATTAAATATATACATATAAATGTTGGGATGTTCATTATAGAAAATTGGATAAAAGAATAGCTGCTTCTACAGGTGAACCGCGAGACAATGTAGTCAAGTAATCTGTCACTGACTTTATCTCTCTATAAATAAGTTGAAATCTATCTCCCATTCTTGATCTGTCACTGTTCGGATAGCTTCCACAGAGTCGATCCGTGCCATGGATTCGAATATTCCTCCAAAGCACGTAAGGCCTCCAGTAATCCGTCTCAATTTCAACATGACGATAACCAAGTCTCCAAGAGTGAGTCAAGGCATCATGAATCGCCCAAAGCTCCGCTTGTATGTCGGGCAATAACCTAAACTTCTAGAAAAATCAAATAGTCACTCCCCTTTATCATTATGAAAATGCTCCCCACAGCAGCCGCGCTATTGCTAAGCCAAACGACTCCATCCACATTCACTTTAAACCATCCTTCCGAAGGTTGTTGCCATGAAGCATGGTTTATGTTGCGATTAGCAGTGTTCCGGCAATAGCAAGAGAGTACTGTGAACAAGTTCAATTTTCATTGTTTAACATCTTCTTCTTTGATTTGGCTTCTAGTCTTTTCCCTAACACTCTGAATAATAAAGGTGGATTATGAAGGAATATAGTCTGAGGGTTATTTTAATTTTAGAAAGCAATTTCTAAGCTTTTGAAATGAAAGAAGAAAAAAACACTCTCAACTCTTTAGTTTAGTTGAACACTACGCTAAATTTCATACTTAGATTCCTTGTGGCTGCTACTTTCTAATCATCTTCAGGATTTTATTAGTAAAAATCCAATTTTTTTTAAAGAATCTTATGAATAATTGAATATGAATGATTGTTAATTTTAGAAATTAAATTTTTAGAGTAAACTATAAGATTAATCACTTCGTTTAAATTTTTTATATTTTTCCTCACTGAATTCAAAAAATAATATTTGATTACTTTTATTTTTATTTATAAAAATGTGGTCATTGATGGTTAACTGTCGTTAAACCTTTAATGGATTATTGACTTGGCATAGTGAATTTATAAAATTAAAAAGGATAAACTACATAAATAGTTACATGTTGGAGCAATATTTGTTTTCCCCATTAAAGTTTCAAAAATAACAAATTAGTCACTAAAACATCAATATATCATTGAACAATGATTTTACATAATTTATTCCAAATTTTTTATAATTTTTCATGTCAACATAAAATATACACGATTTATCATGTTATATATTATATGATATCATTAAAACAAAATATTTTAGTCAATATTTTTTAAAAATAGATTTAAAATTTTTCTTTCAAGGTAAAAATTTTAAAAACAATAAGAATTAAATAAAAATACAATAATTATGTCAAAATCATTTTACATTATTGATTAGTGGTCAAATGACACTTATTTGTCTCATTTGTCATTTAATGAGAATCGAACCATAATATTACCTTGAGAATGTAATCTCTTTATTTAATAAAAAAAAATCATTAATTTGATTTTCACACACGTAGAAAAATCGAATTCCATAAGTCTTACCATAGATAAAACTCATACAAGTTTGAGAATTTACCTTCCATACATACAACATTATTCTTTCAATTTATTAAGATTTTTTTGGTTTATAATTCGAAATATTCGATTGCTTCATGTCCAAAACATAATTTCTAAGTTTTATTTTTAAAATTTAAAAAGCATATATATATATATATATATATATATATATATAGGGAAAATTGGAAAAAATAGAAAGCTATTAGGGTAAATTAAATATAAAATCGCTGTTCAAGGACCTATTGATGTTTAGTGATAATCTGTTACTTTGAAACTTTAGTGAGGAAAATGAAACTTACTCAAACATTAGTGATCACATCTTAATTAAATAAAAACGAAAGTTACTAAATATATTTTTAATTCAATAAGGAAAAATGTAAAAATTTAAACGAAAGTGATCAATCATATATTTACTTTGTATTTTATTTATTGATCTAGGGTAAGCACAAGATAGTACATGTCCAAAAAACACTCTGAAACTAACATTCATGGTGCTCGAACCTGGAACCTCAAGAAATAATAACAATTTTTCACCACCGATGTCGCTTGGTTCGTGCCTATTATTTATTTTGGCTTAATACAAAAGTAATTGTCCAAACTATACTATTTTTTCCACTTAGGTTTATAAACTATTTTTCGGTCAATCCAAGTGTCTAACGTTACAAACGTTACATTTTAAGTGTCTTGGCTGTAACGGTGTTAAAAAAAATATGTTAAGTGACATGTGTCGTATTCAGTAATTTTAATTTAAAAAAATATTATTATATTTAAAATATATTTTTTAAAAATATAAGATTATTAAAAAAATCATTTTTTAGGAAAAAAGACATCTGAGGCC